CACACCCACACCCACACCCACACCCACACCCACACCCACACCCACACCCACACCCACACCTACCCACACCCCGCCCCCACACCCACACCCACACCCGCACCCACTCAAATAGGGAGGAATCCTCTAATAGTAGGTATCGAATGAGGGTGAAGGAAGAGAAGAAAGGTGAAAACATGTGCTTCAAGAACGTGGAGAAAAAAACAAGAGCGATAACGCTTTGATAACGATTGTTTGTGTCACAATACAAAGAGGCACAGATAGAAGTAGAGTAAAGCCATGCTCACAGGTATACTCGTTGGTATTTTATTCATTTTAATCGTTTCCTATGGTTGGCATGTTCATCGAGCCTACAGTTTCTTCACTCGTCTGAACATTCCTGGTCCACCACCACGATTTTTTTTCGGTAATCTCTTGGAAATTCTCGAAACAAAACGTCTTTCATTAAAGATTCAAGAATGGACGAAAAAATATGGTCGTATATTCGGCTATTTTGAAGGACATACACCCATTCTTGTCGTCTCAGATCCAGATATTTTACAAGATATATTCATCAAATCATTCTCTAGTTTTCCTTCGCGTCGTGATTTTCCATTCGAAGATCCTCAGGCAAAAAATGTTCATCTATTTACCGCCCACAGTCTTCGTTGGAAACGACAAAGATTTGTCATTAATCCAACATTTTCATCATTGAAACTCAAACAAATGTCTCCGTTAATCAATCGATGTATTAATTCTTTCATGGAAAAATTAGCTGAACAACATCGATGCGATCAACCATTTGATATCTATGCTCTTTTTAAACGTTTTACAATGGATACAATTTGGTCATGTGGATTTGGTCTGGATACTGACATGCAGAATAATCCAAATGATCCGTATCTTGTTCAATCACAACGGATGGCAATCGAAGAGAATAATGTTACGCCACTTATCATCTTATTTATTTTAATTATTGAACTCAAATGGCTATGGAATGGGCTTCATCGTTTTGATAGTTCTATTCGATATTGGTTAACTAACTATCTACCTATAACACGAAGATTTATCAGTGATGATCCCGCGACGTGGTTCGAGAATCAAGTTGAACAATTGATCAAGAAACGCGTTGAATTAGGCTATACGAAACGAATGGATCTATTGCAATTGATGCTCGAATCAGCCTCGGACGATGATTTCATTCAAGTACGAAATTATTTTCTTTTATGATTCAGTATCACCATTATCAAAGATTGTTCGGAACAGGACGATCGCTTTTGGAAGTCTTGTTGAAATTAACAAAAAAAAGTTTTCTAGTTCTCAGGTTGTGCTTGTACATTGTGCACTATAATCGATCTTCATATCATTCCTTTTTGCAGTAAGCATTTTATTATGAAAACACAGCAGACTAATTAGAAAAAACGTGTACCTCAACTATTTGTTAACTCCAATCGTTCGAGTGAGAACAAATAAACATAGACTAGTAGTGAGATGGAGGCAGATATGAACACTGATCTTTCTTTGTCCATAGTCATAATAATTTATGAAATGGAAAACTTCGTATACGCTCTAAATTCCAAGAGAATTTTCTAATTTTCAACATTATTCCTGCTAAAGTTTTTGCTAGAACTGAATAGTTTTTCGTCTAACTTGTCGCATTGATTCAGAATCAACATTCTGCTGTTTTAAAGATCTACGATTGATGAGAAACTTGTACCCAGTCAAATTCAGTTCCTCGTGACAAAAGAATTTTTCTTAATGAAAATAATGATTCAATATAAAATAATGTTCTGTTTTTGACTCCAAAAGGATCAATCAACGTCTGCCGTTGACAACGCTGAAACGATCAATGAGATACCGTTTGTTCGGAAACTGACCAAACATGAAATTGCTGCAAATATTCCTCTCTTTAGTAATTACCTTTTGTTTCTTTTTTCAATTTTTTTCTTTTCAATAATTTCATCTGTTTTTTAGTGATCGCTGGCTATGAGACGACGAGCACAGCACTGGGCTACATTGCTTATGTTCTGGCTACTCATCCAAATGAACAACGAAAATTACAAGAGCATATCGATGCTCATTTTGAGTCAAGTACCGAACAGGATATACCGAACTATGAATTGATTGCCGAAATGAGCTATTTGGATATGTTCATTCGAGAAACTCTTCGTATGTATCCAATCACACAGAACATTATCAATCGGCAGAGTACCGAAGAGTTTCATATTGAAAACGTTGGAACTATTCCAGTTGGTACTATTACCACTGTCAGTATTTATGATTTACATTTTAGTCCGGATCTTTGGGGTCCAGTCGATCCGCATATATTCTATCCAGAACGATTTGCTACGAAACGACATCCATTAGCCTGGATTCCATTCGGTGCTGGACCGCGAAATTGTGTGGGAATGCGATTTGCATTGCTGCAAATCAAAGAACTAATTGTTCGACTTCTTAAAATCTATTCGATTGTCGATTGTGGTGAACAAACACATCATTCGATCGACGAACTTAAAGAAACTTTTGTCATTTTCCCTAAAAATGTTATTGTTCGCTTGCAACGTCGAGATGAAACAGCACGATGAACTTCATTCATTTGTTTCATCTATAATTTAACTACTAAAAAATGCGTCTGTCGAGCAAATAAATAGACTTGAATGACAGCGCTCAACTATTTTACACTGTGAAGATATAAAAATCGTCAAGCTATTATGAAAGAGCATAAATAGTTCGTTTGACTAGACTTTGAAAGCCAAAGTCTTCCGATATTTTTCTAGTCGTAATATATTCATGAGTCTAACTGCGATGAAGGCAAGCAAAAATAATGATACGCTGATAATAGTATATCAATTATCAGATACATAGGCGTTGATTAGTCAACAGATGATAGAGAAGTTAAAAGAAAAAAACATTGCCATCTTACACATAAGCACGATATTCGTTCTCACTCGCACACTTCTTCTCTTCTGTTCTGAGATAGGAACTTTGTTGAATCATAATACACATGTAGAAAACATTTTTTCGATCAATCCGTAGTAGCTCTCATTCGATGTTAGCAAATGTTTGCTGTGAAGGTGTGGGATGTGGGTGTGGGTGAGTGGATATAGGTGTGGTTGTAAGTGTGAGAGTTCATTACTTAATTCCTATACCAGCACACCCAGCTACATCCACGCTCACATTCATCCTCTCAAGGAGCAATTTAGGTAAGCGTATGTATACCTTGTGTAGACAAATGGTCAGAATAATATCATCAAAGAATACTAGTACTCCTGATTGCTTCCAGTCAAAAGATAAACTTCCGTTTTTCAAGTTTTATCTTCAAAGATATCGCAGTGTGTTCTCTTAAAATTGAACTTCCTGCTATAAAATTAAGTTTTTTTTTACTGAGGGTGTGGGTGGGTGTGGGTGTGGG